TAAGTTCTATTCAAGCTAACTGTTTAAAATATACCAAGGTCACCATCAGTTAAATTTCAAAAGTTTTTCTAGTCTTAATGAAAACAAAATAGATATTTACTTTTTCTCTGCTGATTGTATGTTTCATGTAGATGCTTTAGTATTTAAACGATATCCTAATGCAAAGTGTACTGCCCACCTTTTCTATCTAAGCAGAAGCAGATGCCAGCATACCAGGTTAAGGAGACGCAGGCCATAGCCAGACTCAGGGTACATGTGGAGCGAGTCATTAGGAGGATCAAACAGAACAAACTTTTTGATAGCATCGTTACCATATCACATGTTTACAATATCAACCAACTGTTTGCAGTAGCATGTATGCTGTCAAATTACCAGAACACAGCATTAGTTAAAAAATGGGTTAAGTGAGACAAGATGGATTTTTCCCAAGACACCAGTGCCAGTACAAGTAACTTATGGAAAATGACCTGCAGCTGAGGCCACTACAGTTGCATTTCTTCCTTCTCAGCTGACAATACTTGATTACAGAACTGGTACTTGAGTGCTGATAGTTGAGTTTCAGTTATTGATAATTCAAATTCATTGCAAATGTTGAATGTTAATAATACTGTTTAATTATACTACTATATTACTATTCAGATTCAACAAAATTGTTTATCAAAATTATAAAGTAAATCACTAAATCGTTTTAAAATCATAAGTGACATTGAGCTTTTGTAACATCAAAAATACCATTTGTCATTTTCTACATTCAGTTGTGTTATTGTCTAAATGTATATCAGTATGCTAGGCATGGAGTTTTAAATACTTACCATGTAAATAAGTTCTGCACAAATTCAATGTTTTAATGTGTGTTTTCAAAAAATGAAATTGATGCCATTGCTTAAATAACAGTTTATTGATTTCACATAAAAGTAACATGTAACAACAAGTAACAACAAAAGAATTCATGAAATATATTGCAAATAAAACATCAGTTATTTTGTTCCAGCCAGCCTGAAGGATCTGTTTTCCTTTTTGCTATGTTTTCACTGTTCATTTTACCAAACACAGGTATCTTGGCATATATATGTAAAAAAAGAAATAGTCTGCCTTTTCTCTGATTGCATTGTGCACATCTGTATCCATGTATATTCTTTGCACTAGGTAGTCCTCTTGTGCCCACACAACAAAGTCACACCACTGCATCCCACTGATGAGCAGTTGTCCTTGCACCTGCCAGTAATATGCGTGGCTCTTTTTTAGTTTAGGAGTACCACATTCCATCTGCACATATTTGCAGTCAATAAAGTTTTGTACATTGGGACATTTGAATTCGACGAGGCCAAACTGGGGGTATTCATTGGAGTCAAAAACAACACCATCAGGAGATGCAGCAAGCCAGGGGGCAATGGGGTGAATGACCAGACCACAGGGTGAGTAGTTAACATTCATTAGCCTACTATACTCTGCTGCTATTGCAGGCTCCATCTCAGTTCCTCTCCTTATGTCTGCTGTCTGCCTTGTTCCCTTCAATATACGCTCTGCTAGTGACTCTGCCGAGCTCTGGCCTCTGACGTGACACACCTCCCGAAACCTAGAGGCAGTCACTCTGGGCCTGCGGAGCTGATGCCACTCAGACGAAGAGCTTTGCTCACGTGTAGCTTCCTCTATTTTGTGAGCCATTTCCAGAGTTACAGACAAGCTTTTCAGATGCAGAAGCTCTTCTTCTGAGCACACAAACACACAATCTGATGGCAAGATGTCATACCCCTCCAGAGGCAAGTGCGGTGTTGGTGGTGCATCACGGTGTAGTGTGATGTACCGGGTTGTCAAAACCGGCTGCTGATATGACAGAACACTGCCCTCCTGCACCAGCCCGAATGCACTTTCCACAAGGGGCTTGTCAGGTCTCATGTTCATTGTGGTCACAAGTGGCCTGTCCTCAATATTAAATTTTGCATATGCCTCCGTTATTCTGAACAAGCAGGGATCTGGTAACGGACCCACCATGCCTCTGTAGAAGCCACTCCTAAAGAAAACATCAATGACAATAATGTAAGGAAGAAGGTTATTATACTGAACAACAACTAAACTAAAAGGTGTAAAACAGTGGTGCATAAGTTAGAGACTGGGATGTATATGTACATGACTGAGTTAGCCGTCTTCAGAAAGTGTAATGTTGTATGTAAATTAATACCTATTCTGACACATGTATGTATGAACAAATAGCAACATACATTTGTAACACATGAAATCAAATTTTACAAATCTAATTACCGTACTCCAGTCTGGGCCATCCTATTTGGTACCGGCTTAGTGAAGATCATGGAGTTGATGGGTCCTGGCTTCACACCCTAACAGAAGACACATTTACTATGGATGGTGTTGCTGTTCATATGTAAACATGGGCTAATTCAAAAACTTTAACCTCATTTAAATTACCACTGTCCGTGGCTTGTGCCATTGCTGTTCAGATTCTGTGCAGCTATGCACAGGAGGGAAAACCATCACTCTGAGTTGTGAGTAGTGTGCTGTTTGGAAGAGCAATGCCACTGTGTGATTGCACATAACAGCGCCTGCCACACAGGAACACTGGCTATGTGTCAGTATCACCGTCGATGAATCCAGAAGCTTAATCTAAGAAGAAAGAACGAAAATTAAAAATGTAACATCTTCATGGAAGAGCTGAACAGGAACATAGTTCCGTGTTATGGTTACGTACCCTCCTGAATGCTTAGTGTTTCCTTCTCTCCCTATTAAAACAACTTAACCATCCTTGATAACTGTAATAACTTAGATTGTGTATATTTGCAGTATTAACTTGTTGTCAAATGTTTCTGATCACCCAAACACACGTTGATTAAACTATCTGACTAGTCAAATTAGGAGTGATAAAGCAGGGAGACAAGGAAAACATTCAAGTTGATGGGCCTTTAGGAATGAACTTAACTAATGCTTAAATGAACTGAACCCCACTGAACGGGGATTAACAACTTTACACAGCTTCCTGCCTACACTTAGTCTGTGTGGTGCCTCACACTTCCTCATTGACCTGTAGCACAGGGCTCTCACACCGACCTCCCCTGACAACCTGTCTTTATTGGACACTGAATAAAGATACAAGTACCATTAGCATTATTTCTGTATTACTCATGTCAGCACGTCTTAAACATATATACTTTACACTTAGCAAGAGTAGCATTAGGTAGTTAACTACCTCCTTAGTTAGCCAACTACCTAACGCTATTATAACAGTGTCTAACAACAAAAGTGACATTAGTTAAGAAAATCTCAACTATAGTTTCGGACAACTTAAAACACAGTTCAAGAAAACATGTAATGTAGAGGACATAGCGGAGTAACGTAGTGTTTGCATTTGACGTTAGCTAGCGTTTCTTTGTTGGTTAATTTACGTTTTCTTACCTTCGTAGTTGTGTATATACGATGCAGCATATAACTTAAATCCTTTATCTAATTTGCTGGCGGGGGTAGTCGTCACTCTGCAAATCCGATGAACATCAGTGATGTTCAATTTTGGGAGCTCTTGTAGGCAGCGAGTGTAGAACGTCGCCATGATTTAACCGCACCGGAAGCACTGGGGCAGGACTACATAGAACGTGGAAGTGATTGTGCAAGTAGTCTATTCTGTTGTAAAAGCCAGCTTCTTCCAGCTCAGGGCACAAGCAAAAACTAAGAACATTTTGTCATTTGCTGACTTCGAGAAAGTGATGCATGCATTTACTTCATCCAGGCTTGACTACTGCAATAGTCTTTATTTTGGTATCAGCCAGGCTCTGCTGTCTCGTCTTCAGCTAGTTCAGAATGCTGCAGCTCGACTCTTGACAGGCACTCGTAAACATGACCATATATCCCCAGTCTTGGCTCATTAACACTGGCTTCCAGTACGTTGTAGAATTGATTTTACGATTTTATTGCTTGTTTTTAAATCTCTAAATGGATACACTCCGGCATACCTCTCTGATCTGTTCACTAAAAATACTCCTAATAGAGCTCTCAGGTCAGCTGATAAGTTGCTTCTAGTGGTCCCTAGAAGCAGGCTAAAAAACAGAGGAGATCAGGCCTTTGCGATTGCTGCACCCAAACTTTGGAACAGTCTGCCACTTGAAATGAGGATCTCTTCAACGCTTGACATTTTTAAAAACCGTTTGAAAACAAATTTTTACTCTCTAGCTTTTTGTTTTGTTCTTTGTGTGTGTTTGGTCTACTTCTTACTTTTTTACTATGTACAGGACTTTGGTCAATCTGTGTTGCTTTTAAATGTGCTTATAAATAAATTGCTTGATTGATTGAAACCTTCTCGACTGGGTTAAGGTCAGGTGACTGTGGAGGCCATGCCATCTGGCAGAGCACTCCATCATTCTCCTTCTTGGTCAAATAGCTGGTGGGAGCCATGCATGTAGAGACCATGTGTTCACCTTTCTGTGTCTCACAAAGACACGGAGGAACCAAGGATCTAATATTTGGACTCATCAGACCATAGGGCCAAGAAATACCGTTCCTTGTATTTCTTGCCCCAAACAAATTTCTTCTTCCTGTTGCTTTTCCTTAGTCATGGTTTCTTAATAGCTATTTGACCATAAAGGCCTGATTTTTGCCATCTCCTCTAAAGAGCTGATGTGACAAAGGGCATCCATCACCCACCAGAAATGAGTCTGACTTATTGCTCGATATGAAGAAGAAGCTCTTGAAACGGTTCTATAAGGATCAAATGGCCATTAGCAATGGGCCAGACACCCCATCCTCCCAAAGAACATCCCACATGACACTCCAAGGGACACGGTCAAATGCTTTCCTCAAAGTCCACAAAATACATGTTTACTTTTTGCACAAACTTCAATGCACCCTCTAGTATCCTCAAGAGGGTAAAGGTCCAGTGTTCCACGACCACGATGAAAATGGCATTGTTCCCCCTGTATCCAAGGTTTGAGTAACAGATGAACCAGCATCCTGGCATAGATTTTCCCAGGGAGGCTGAGGAGTATGATCCCACTACAATTGGAACACACCCTTCAGTCCCCCTTGTTAACCCTCTGAGGTCGACGGACAGCTATGGATGTCCGTCGACAGCTATCGACCTCACTGAGCCATAGCCATAGCTACTGATTGGAAGGTTGGTGGGTCTATCCTGCATGCTAAATATCCTTGGGCCAGATACTAACCCCATGTTCATCGGAGTGTGAATGCGTGTCAGTGTTGGTTAGTTTGCACTTGTGTTTAGCAGTGCTTGTATGAGTGGGTGTGATTGGGGTGAATGAGGCTTATTGTATAAAGCGCTTTGAGTACTCCGGGAGATTAGAAAAGCGCTATATATGTATCAGTCCATTTACCATTTACGTGCCGGTGCTTCCAAAACACCAATTTCACCAACACAGCTAACATAACTAAGATAACACAGCAACAAGATGCAGCGACCCAGAGTCTCCATTTCATTTCAACATTTCAGTTGAAAGTGCAGACTTATGTTAAATAATACATTCACTGTGGTATTTACTGCGGGAACAAATGGTAAAAACTTTCTAAGGGCAGCGCTAGGTAATGTAAGCAGTTTTTAAAGGTGAACTAAAGACGTAGAATCAAAAGTATCAAAAAGCCGAAGACACCAAGACAGCCCTATGACATCCAGAGCCTTCAGGAACTCTGTGCGAACCTCATCCACCCCAGGAGCTCTGCCACCAAGGAGTTTTTTAACTGCCTCAGTGGCCTCACTTCCGTAGATAGATGAGTCATCGTGCCTGAGTGCAGCAGGTGGTTGTGAATGGTCCAATCTGGACTCAATCTCCCCACTCTCCCTCAGAATGCTGATGAAGCTCTGCAGGAGGTGTGTGTTGAAGATCTTGCAGACCAGGGCCTCTGCCAGGCGTTCGCAGCGCATCCTCACTATAAAGTGAGTTATTTATCAGTGTTTTGCCTTTGCTACATTATTTCACATATCTTGCTTGGTGTATCTGATGTCTTCAATATGTATCTACAATGTAGAAAGTAGTAAAAATAAAGAAAAAAATATTAAATGAGAAGGTTTGTTTGTTTATTGTTTATTTATAAGGAACCCCATTAGCTTCCACAACAGTGGTTGCTAGTAAATGAAAAGGTATGTCGAAACATTTTTACTGGCAGTGTATATTACAAAATATTAACAGTAAACAGTAATTTTTAGTCTCTTTAAAACCCTTACTGATGTCTGTCATCCTGCTTGGACATATAGTGGGTAGCTGTTGTGAAAGTTCAACACTCATTAACATAGTGAAGAACAAAAGTGTAGATATTGGACTGGTTGTTGTGATTGTATAAGAAAAAGGTCTAATTATCTCTTACTTTACTCAGATTTCACAGAGTGTATATTTGATAATAATTTGATTTGAATTATTTTGGATAAGTGTAAGATAATGGGGAATTTCAGTTTTTACTTACAATTTTGTTTAGTGTAATGTTTACAGTTCAATTGTATTTTCTTGCCTTATTTAATTTTTATGTACTGTTCCTTTAATACATGGTAATACCGTGTTTTGCAGTGTACAGGGACATTCAGATGGATTACCGTATTTGAAGACTGTGGAAATAAATGTTGGCATGTTTGTTTTCAACTACAAGCGGACTTTGTGGATTATTCTAACTGCACAGGGACACGTGTACGGCCTGACTAGCAGCTAGTGCTTCCGCTGTAATAGTGATATTACAGTGTTAAATTGGGATCTTAAATCCACAAGTAGATGCATCAAGGGATTGTGGTGTGCAGTTGTTATTTTGTCCTCTGTGGAACAGTATAATAATAATAATAATGGATTGGATTTATATAATGCTTTTCAAGGCACCCAAAGCGCTTTACAATGCCACTATTCATTCACTTTCACATTCACACACTGGCAGTGTTGGGGAGTAAC